CACAAAAGGTGTCGCACCTGGTACGTTCGGATCATGTCCTGGCAGTTCTTGCGGATCTGCTCCGTCTCTTCTTTGGCTTGCGTCAGTTTGGACGTGATGTCCCTCAACTTGTCTTTGGACTCCTGCGCGCAGAGACAGATGGAAGCATGAATCATTCATCGGCCTCTGCCAAACACTCATTTCTCATTGGATTTACTTTATGCGACGCGAAGAGACGGCTTTCATTTGTCTAAACTGGGCCGAACTTGTAACTGAGCATTTCATCGTCTGACGGCTGAGGAACCAACCAACTCTTTCATGTCCGCGCGCGTCCGAAAAACGCCACTTGCCTTGTGGGCATCGGCCTCACTCTTGAGTTTGTTCTGGGCCCATTTGACCTTGATTAGATGAGAGTTGTTCTCCTCCTTCAACTTTTCCACCTCGCGAGTCAGCCGGCTGACGTCGCCTTCCTAAGAACAAAGCGAATGGCACGCAAGGCGACGACTGCGGGAGCAAAGCACGCCAAGCGGCTCGCGTCGCTGGCTGGGGTGACAATTTGGGAAAAGACGAGAGACCTTGGCGTCGCACAGCTGCTGCAGGCGGCCTCTGTCCTGAGCCAGCTGGTTCCCTCGAAGGGCCTGGCGATCCACTTCCTTTGCGGCCTCCCGAAGCTTCTTCTCCAAAGTCTCCTTGTCCCGCCTCAAGTCCAGGGCTTCCTTCTCCCCGCGCACATATTTCATCACCATGGTCTCCTTCTCTTGGCGCGCTTCCTCACACTTCCTGTTCACCTGCGGCAGAGGAAGACTGTTCATCCCCTAAAATGGGCAACTTCTGAAACCCCCCCGGAGGCAACACGTGAAAAAAAATTGTGCTGCTCCAGCTCTTATTGTTCAATGGACAGTGAAATTAAAACTCGCCAGGTGTGAAGGGAAGGGGAGAGGGGGCTCAGAAAGTGACGATGCGGTAGCCCACTGACCACAGTTGCGGATGAAAAACGGCCGTTTGCTTTCCAGGTGATTATTTCCAATAACAACAAGTTTGATGTGCTCAAGTTAAGCACAGTGCAAAAATCAACAACAAATATGACACCGAGCAAACAGAAAAGAAATCAATATGCTTGCACTTCAACTGTTTTTGAATTTCAGGAGCGCAGAGGGGTGAGGTGAGATGTTTTTGTGCCGCCGCAAACTTCAGAAGCCGCCTCCGCTCTGCAAGCCGTGTGCGTTGACTGTTATCTCTGCTCTTTCACACGGACTGCGTGTTTTACAGACGCCGCGTCTGCTCACCACACGCGTCGGTCACGGTCGCCATCAGAAAAGCCATTCCAGCCTCGACCGGTGAGGCAAAGAAAGGATGAGCAGAGCAGCGCCACTCGTTCGTTGATGGGAGAAGCATTGTTGCGTGGGGGCTGCCTTTTACCTGTTCCAGGCGGTAGGTGGTCTCCTTCTGCATTTGCATCAGGCTCGCCTTGGCCGCCTGTTCCTGTTGAATGAGTTTGTCCCGGGTCCCCTTCAGCTCCCTCTGCAACTCCTTCACCCTGTCTTCCAGCTGACAACACAAACGCAGACGGGATGGTAAACCGCTAGGGCAAGAACGTCGGGCCTAACCTGCGACGCGAGGGCCGCTCCAGAAAGAGAATTGATGGGGAAATCGGATTCTGGCCCGGGTCTGCCTTAATTGCTCCACTTTTTTTTGCAGTATGAAGAATTGATGGGGAAATCGGATTCTGGCCCGGGTCTGCTTTAATTGCTCCACTTTTTTTGCAGATTATGAATATGAAATGCCACTAACGTTTGTGATGGTGTTCATGTGCTGCTTCTGCGTCTCCGCCCTCTTTTTCAGCTCCTCCTTCATGTTGTCCTTCTCAGAACAGATGCCCAGGATGAGATCCTGATGCCTCTTGTTTTCCTCCAGCAACCTTCACAACACATCACCAATTTTACTGCTGCAAATGTAACAAATAGTTACACAAAACCAATGACCTGAACAGTTTGCAGAACCTTTTGTGACTCTTTTTTTTTTTTGCCTTCCAGTGAAAAATGAGCACTTGAGGAGAAAACGGGGATGGATCCTTCATTTTGTGACGATTCAGAAGTATGAAGAGTTTACCTCTGGATGGACTTTTCTTGTTGCGCGTACTTGTGCTGGACACAATGCTCCAAGACCAACACGCAGTCCTCCCGCTCCAAAGGGACCCCGTTGACGGAGGGGCTTCCTTTCCCGCCGCCGTCCCTTTCAACTTCGGGAAGCTGACAGGCCATCAGCTCCGACTCCAGCTCGTCCAACAGAGACTCCTGCGACAGGGAGCGCTGGATCTGCGAAATCAGCTTGCGGCTGCACTCCGTGTCATACGGACTGGACGTAGAGTCGGAGGGTGGCGACGGGCCGGCGCCCCTATGTGGGCTGGAGGTGAGCGAGGAGCTGACGCTGTCCGAAGTGGGGCTGGAGGGGCCGTCGGAGAGGCCGGAAGTGGTGCTCGTGGAGTTTTTGGAAGCGCTCTGGATGGACGGGGGCGACGGGCTCTCGGCGCATCCATTTTGGCTTGCTGGCGACGGCTCCGTGCTTAGAGGCGGCTCCTCGTTGCCGTTGGGGGAGTCGTCTTTGTCCAAAGTCACGGCCGCTTCTAGGGTGGGGGGGCTTGCGACCGCATCACCCGGGGTCAGCCCAGATCCTTCATTTGAAAGAGGTGCTGGCCTTTCCTCTTGTGCAAAACATGTAATACTATGACGGTTGCCGTCAGAGGCCGGCTGGCGCCCTCCTACTTTTTCTGCTATCTTTGTCTTTGCAAAACCATCTGGATTTGTTTTGATAAAGCCACCTTTTGTCTGCACGCGTTCCTCTCCTGCACAATCGCCAGATGCGGGTTCTTGTTTTTCTTCTTGAGATTGACAGTTCTGGAGCTGCTCCAACGGTGGAAACTCGTCAGATCCCTCCGTCACATGTGCATCCGAGGCTGGGTCAGGTTGCTCCATGGCGCTTTCTGTGCATCAAATCTGAAAAAAAGAGGGCGAGGAAGAGCACGATAAGGGACCGAAGGGTGCCGAACATGACTTGAGGCTATTTATTCAACCCATAATACCTTGAAGAAACGAGTATTACTTGCTTGGCTGGATTGTGAACAGAATTCCAGCAATATTCGGTACAAATTCCGTCCACAAAGTCTCTTTTCAATGTGAAATCAATATGAAAACGGCAATAATTGGTCAGATTTGTTCTCTGTACCAAGGTTTTCAATCACACGAGAGATGTCTGTGTCGGTTCCTAAATCAAACATTTGCACACCGGTCGATTGGAAGGGATGGTCCCAGTTGCAACCCTTGTATCACTCAGTGTATATTTGGGTGTACTGGTCTGTTTATTGTCGTACCACACCAGAGACAAATCATTCGTGTTCCCACAAACAGCTCTTGGCCAATAGAGACTGATTCTGAAATTGCGCAGCATCTTGTTATAGGCTTCATGGAACGAATGCTGCCCTTATTAAGGAATGTTACACAAGGCAAAAAAGGTTGACATTTAATCCTTATTTGCTCATAACACGGATTTGTCAATTCATTTGCTCTTGTAATACATTTGATAAAGAGTCAAAAGATTGATAGCCTCCAATTCCCAAAGCCCCTCTCCTACTTCCGAGGTAGGTGTGGTCATCTTGAATTCAATTCAACTGCCGACAAGTGGAGCACCACGGTGCGATGTGAGTCTTTTCACACATTTTAAAGGTGTTAAATGTACAATGCAAATGCTTGATTTGTCTTCAGAGTGTGAATTAGACAGTTAAAAAGCCTGCCTGGGCTTTTCAAGCAGCAAGAGGCGCCGATGCTCCTTTTGACAGGTGTCAGCTGTCAAATAACAAGCGACACCGTCGGCTTCCGAGCCCGTATTGAAGAAAGCTTTGGTCGCAGCCCTGCCTTGTACTATCCCGTAGAGATCGCCAACCGGAGCATGCTGCTCAACTGGCATTTTGTTCCAAATTGTGGCAATTCAAAACGAGTTACAGCCTATTATGCAGACATTAGCACGCAAGGTTATAAGCTTGCTCGTAGCATGTCCGCCTCCGACACGGCCGTTATTAAATACAGATAAAATAGCAAACGTCAGACTAATGTATTTCAATATAGCAACATCAGACGATGATTCATTTTGTAACGCCGAGCTGCTTAGTTCGGCTTTCAGCGAAAAGGAAAGCACTGGGCTAGCCTACAGCAGGCAGCTAAGCTATGACGACTCATTTCCGTGAATGAAACCAAGCGTTTGAAAATAAGAGTGAGACTATATTTACCCACCGAGTGTGGTAAATCCATAAATGGAATTTTTTTCACGGGGCTCGGATTAATTTAATAGCAAGTTTAGAGCCGTGACTCTTGTGTGTCTTGCCAGCTGATCGGCCCAACAAGTCCTTTTTGCTATGACACATCAACAAATATGGCCACTGCAGGGGGCGAAAGGACAGCAGGCGTGAACCAATGAAAGCAAAGCTTTTGTGACGTCGACTGGTAGGCGCAGGGCAGCTCCATCGAAAACATTTTTAAAATGCGTTAAATAGAAAAAGTGGATGGAAAATACCCGAAATAGTTTATTCAAAAATAAATGATCAGTTTTCCTTTTTTATTTAAAATTAATTTCATGATAAAAGATCGGCCAGTTATTTTATGAAATTAATAAATATTTCGTTTTAAACGTTTGATTTTATTTTCAATAATACATCCGTTAAGTATTATTTAAATTTGGTCAGTTAATGAAAAATAATGCATACATTATTATTAATCAATTTTAGGGAAAATGGCAAATAAAGGTAAACGCTGTTTCCCACCACTGTACTGAAATGATAACAGCTTTTCTAGCACAGACCTGAAAAGGCCAATTACGTTACTCCATGTTGGTCTCTTTTTTTTATCTTACTCTAAACTTACGTTATTGCAGTGTGTTTGTCTGTTTTGTTTTTTTTTCTGTTTGTGAGCTATTTCAGTAGTATCTCAATCATGTTAACGTATTTCGCGTTCCATGATATACAATCAAAATCGACAATTTCCGTCTGAAATTTTCGACCAATCAGAAACTTAGGTCATCGCGCATGCCTCAGGTTTTTCATCAGGGGCGTGTAGGTGGAAGCACGAGTTCGTCGTCATAAAAAGTCGGAATATTAGTTGAAAATAGTGAGTTATTGTGAATTATTATCAATTTCACGCACTTGTATGGTTGTATATTGTGTCGTCACATTGCATTAGCTCTGGTTACTTCCCCAAACGAACGGTTATCAATTAGTAGCAATTAATAGCTAATCCTCAAACTAACGGCTAATTTTGCTTCATGTTAGCAGAGGACTTTCGATAATTCGCGCTTGAATTTGACAAAAATATAAATCTCATGAGCAAGTTAATTGCCCCTTCATTTGTAATATTAAATTTATATGTTGTTATTGTTCTTTTTTTGTAATTATAGAACTGCATTTGCCATGAACAACTCATTTCCCCCGAGCTCGGTGCAGCCAAACCAGCCCTTACGGAAGCCGTCATCCAGCCCGGTCATGTGTCCGTTTCCTGGACTCGTCTTGCCGGCTGGTAACCCTGTCAGGCCGCACTTGTCACAAGGAGCCGGTAAACACCTTCAACTCTTTGTTTACTCAATCAAATACTTTGAACCACATATGTCAAAACTTCAGTCCATATTTCCTCGGTTGTAGGCCCAGATTTTCCACCGGCCAGAGGGGATACACCAGCTGTATGTATTACATGTAAAATAATTCCCCCTCAATATGTTCTTGCTTGTCAATTCCTTTAAAAAAGCTGTTCTATATCTTTCTATATGTTTCCTCCCTAAAGGGAATTGGTTCCATGCAATCATCTGTGCCCCTCTGCCACTTTTGTAGTAAGCAAGGTAACGTTTCCACCTGAATGTGATTTTTTTAAAAAAAATTTTATGGTGGGCCAAAAGTAGGTATACAGTACTCTTTATTGAATTAAATTATTGAATATTGGAAAATGATTGAATTAAGAACTAGAAAGTGCAACGCTGTTGGTATTGATGGAAGGCAGAAAAGTAATTTAAAAAAATGTTTTAACTCTAAGCAAAGGAAGAAAGGGTGCAAATTTGAGGCAAAGACGGAGGTTAAGAGAATATGATTAAAAAGGTTTGAGCTCGAAGGAAGTGTGAGTGTCACGAGGTAAGGTGGGAATGAACAAAGAAAGGAAGTCGGGCAGAAAGTAGGCTTGAAGGAAGGAAGAAACAAACACTTTTGAGGTCCAAGCAAGGAAAGCAGATTAAGACATGGAAGGAAAAAGAGGAGTAAACGATGCATAGATGAATAAAAAGTTAATTTGAATGAAGGAAAGAAAGGAAGGAAGAGGCTAAAGAAGGAAAAGATGCCAGGGAAAAAGCAAATCTCATTGCAACTAAGACAGCAAAAGGAAATGACAAAGGTTGGAAGCAAGGAAGGCTGATCGTAGGCTTCAGTAAATGTAAGACGTAGGTTAAGATGGAAAAATAAAAAGCCACTTTGAGGGAAGGTTATAAAGGAAAAGATGCCAGAAAAAAAAAAACATTTGAATGGTTAAAAATGAGAGTGTTATACCTACTCCTGTCCCACGCTGTTATGAGCTACTCAATTGTGATGTTTTCCCTCATGCATCTGCCAGGGAATTTACGTTGTACTCGTTGCAAGAAGGCAACCTACTGCTCTGGGGTGTGCCAGATGAAAGATTGGGATGGGCACAGACAGATTTGCATACCCGCTGGCCCGGAACCTGCAAAGTAAGCCAACTACAGCCGTGAACATACATTTCATAATCCTGAGATTAGAGGGTAGACTGTTATGGAGCCAATATTCGTTTTGAGTAAAAGGGAAAATATTGGTGCCAACAAATAGAAACTCCAACCCTTTGTTAAAATGTCTTTAAGCATGTGTTTAATACCTTTTCACATTTTCATGTTTTTTTTTTTTTAATCTTAAAAGGGTGAGTTTTTTTTTTTTTTTTAAGATTCTAACAAAAACTCCATGGTGGTCCAAGGATAATCAGTATGTCTTAAAAAGTTTAGAAAACTATATGGAGTAAATAGCTCCACATGATTTTGTGCAGTGAAAAGCATTTTCCGAAATTTCAAAACAAATAAAATGTTTCATGTGTTGTTTTAACTTCAAACAAAAGGTGCGCAGAGGTTCCCAGGGATAGCAGCATCTGTTAAAAAGTTAACTAAAAATTTTAATTCCCTAATCAACCATTCAATTTTTTATTTTATTTTTTTAAGAATCGGTCGGTGTATTCCTCAGTAAAAGATCCATTTGAATTCAATTTTAAAGGAAGAAGCCGAATCAGACCGCCGCGTTGCCATCATTGGCACACAACACCACCCTTCCGGATTTAAGGGTAATTAGACGTCTGGCCTTCCAGATGTATGCAGCACAGCACCGATATACCTGTATGTACTTTCTCATGGCTCTCCTTTTGTGAAATGAAGCAGGCAGATGCAGTGGATCCCCACAGGGTGTATTTGAAGGACTTGCATACCCTTCAGCTGCATCAGGGAAAAGATGTGCAGGTACTTGAAACCTGAAATGCCAAGAATTGAAATTTGTTTGCATGTTAAGTATTGATTGATTGGGGATTTTGATTTTAGGCATCTGTTGTGGAGTTCTACAGCCCTGGAAGATTTTTTCTCCTTGTCCAAAACCCCGATCTGCTGAAGACTCTGCAGAGTATCAGCAGCCAACTCCAGAAGACCCCCAGCTGTCCCTCAGTACCCCTTCATGTCCCCTGCGTCGGAGAGGTCTGCGCTGCACAGTTCTCTGCCGATCTGGTAAGAAGCGACGACTCGCGCAGTAACACGACCGTTTGCTGCACAATGCTTTTTGCTTCCGTTTCGTCACGACTAGATTTGGTACCGAGGCCTGGTCCAGAAGTTGGCGGCTGACAAAAAGTCTGCTCATATACTTTACATCGACTATGGAAATGAGGAAGACGTCCCCGTGGACAGAATGAGGCCCCTGCCTGCTGACCTTGAGCCATTTCATCCTTGTGTTAGTATACACACACGCGCACATGCAAAGCTCCAGTCCTATCGATGGTCGGGCAGTGGTTCCCAGGCGTTCTTGAGCCAATGCATTATTCATTGGAAAAATCGAATTGCACACCACCAAACAAAACTCAACCAGTGTACCTGAGTCTTTCCTATCTGGAACAGCTCATGTACTCCTGACGAAGTAGTTCATGGCAGTGCATCCCCATCTTTGTCTCCGCAGATTCCTCGACGCAGCTTGTCTGTGTGTGCGCGTCGCGACGGTGTGCCGTAAAGCTCATCATATTTTTCGGAACGTTTCCCCTCAGGCCATGGAGTGTCGCGTTGCCGGCGTCGAACCGCTGGATGGCAGCTGGTCCGCCGAGTGCTGTTCAGCAGTGAAACCGCTTTTGGCTGGCAGGGTCGTGACCGTGAAGCTGGTGGAAACGCTGAAGAATGTTCACGCGCACGCTGTGGACATCGAGCTTCCCATGGGTACGGTCTGTCTTGAGTGGACAATCCACTGTGTGGTATGAAGATGACATCAAGGCTTCTTTTAGGAAAGCGTCTGAGCTCACTTCTGATCGATGGCGGTTTTGTGAAGAAAGCAGTTGATTTGCCAACAGTGAACGACATAAGTAAGCCCGCATCGTTGACTTTTTCTCATTTCGTCGACTCCGCACTGGTTTGCGGTCCTGAAGATCTCGTGTCCGTATCCTTTTGGGGCCTCCCTCAGACGCCATGTTGAGTGCTTCCTCGGAAAACTATCAGCGTCAATCTCAGGGGAAGGACGACAACACCTGGGCTCGGCCGCCCGAGGCTCTCACGCAGGCCGTGGGGGACTCCTTCTCTGTCGTGATTACACACTTCCATTCGCCAGATAAAATGATTGTGCAGAAGGTGGACAATGCCGGTTAGTGTTTCGTGAAAGCACCAAACAAGTCATGATATTTGGGACTGAGAGATTTGATTTTGCAGGTGTCATTCAGGAGTTGCAGCTGAGTTTGAGGCAGCATTGCAATCAGTTGTCTGCGCCTCAAGACTTCAGACCGGCACCCAGCACCATCTGCTGCGCCCAGTTCTCGGGTACCAAAGTCGCACAATGTGAATTTGATGCTTTGAAGTTGGACATGGTGACCCTCAATATCATCTTGCGTCTGTGTGTTCGCCGTGGACCGTTTGTGGTCTTCCAGAGGACAAGCAGTGGTACCGGGCCAAAGTGCTGGCGTACCCCTCTGAGGCGCGCGTCTGTGTGGGCTACATTGACTTCGGCAATTCGGAGGATGTGGATATCGGCCACTTGAGACCCCTCAGCCCTTCACTGCTCGCCTTGCCCATGCAGGCCATCCCTTGCGGTCTCGCAGGTCAGTCTCTGTATCCATCATTTGATATCCTGGACAGAAAATGATGGAGGTGAAGTTATTTTTTTTTCAGTTGCTGTTTTTAGAGCGCATCTTTTTGAGAGAAGTGGTCGCTAAATTGCTTGAGTTTAGTTTTTTTAAAATTGGTTGTAATGGGCATCTCTCTTTAACTCCGTGGTCATATGTTGCCCCCTGCCGGTCATCAATGTGCCGCTGCTTAAAGTGTTGTGTTTTGAGTCAATGTGCAACTGCCACTCAATTCTCAAACTGGGCCTGTCATCGGGATCCTTTCAGGGATACAACCTGTTGGAGGGAGCTGGTCCGAGGAGTCCCTGTTGGCCCTGCAGCGGAGGGTGTGTAACAGAATCCTGCGTGTGGAGATTGAAGGGGCGCATGAGGGCCAAGCTCTGGTTGTCATGGTTGACGAGACCAGCGACCCCCAGGACAACATCGCTGAGCTGCTCATCTCCGCCGGGTATGCCTCACCCATTCCCGCCGCTGGATCTCTTAAGGCCGACAATGACCCGCAGGCTGAGCAAGCTCCTCCAGAACCAGCTGGTAAGACAAATGCAGTGGAATATCTCCACAACGGTCAGGCTCCTTTCTTTCTTTCTTTCTTTCTTTTGTTAAATGACTTTATTGTAACAACACGACACTAAAACTAAAAAAGACACATTTTGCGAATTATAGAACCAGAACACAAACGTATTACAACACACTTTTTAAACACGTGGCAAATTTTTACCCATTTGTAACCTCAGAATGTTTTATGACTGAAGACCCTGTCGTTTTTTTTTTTTTACGACCTGCCTGTAGCCCAGTAGTAATGATTGACACTTGATGGGAATGTGGGTATCCTCCTGCAGGTCCGACCTTCCCAGTGCACTGGAAGACCGTGGAGTTGCCCATCGATGAATCCTTCAAGCCCGACATCGCCGCCGTTACCAGTCCTTCCCTCTTCTATCTGTTCAGCCCCAGCCAGGGTCGGGGCATTTTTCATTGTCACTAGGACCCCAAAGCGTTCGGACTTGCTTTGATCCGCCACTCTCCGTTGTTATCGTTGTTGCAGTAGATCAGCAGAAGCTCCGGGAGATGATGCAGGAGCTGGCGACCTTCTGCAGCAGCGACCGGGCCACTTTGTCCTCATGCGCTGACAAGAGCGAACTCGTCCCCGGGGCCGCCTGTTGCGCTCAGTTCACCGGTGAAAAGCACACGTCAAAAGTCTCACCTGTGTGTGTGCGCGTGTGTGTCGTCTTGCGATGGATACTCTGTCTTAACTTGTTAGGTTAATCGACGACTCTAAATGATCCATCTTGTCGGTGTGAACGATGTGATTGTCCATGGCTGTTAGTCTAAGTGTCCTGTGATTGGCTGGTGACCAACGAACGGTGTACCCCCGTTGCCCAAAGTCTGCTGTGGTAGGCTTGAGCTCACCTGTGACACTGACGAGGAAGAGGGCTGTCCAAATAGGATGGATCAAATCATTTTGCGGCATTCATTTTCACCCAAATGCCTTTTTTTTCTTCACCAGCGGATGATACCTGGTACCGTGCCGTGGTTGTGGAGGTTGGCAACAATGAGGTAGCAGTCGTCTACGCGGACTATGGCAACACTGAAAATTTGCCAGTCTCCCGCATTCTGCCCATCCCCAAGAGCCTGTTGCAGCTGCCCTTCATGATCGCCCGCTGTGCTCTGACCGGTGAGTAGAGTGGCACGTTCCTTTTTTCGACTCGATTCTACGTTCCTGGCAACATCTCTTCCTCCGCAGGCAGGGAGCATTTCCCCGCCCTGTGGCCCCGAGAAGTGCTGCAGATGTTCCTCAGCTTGCTGCTGGACGGAATCGTCGCCACCGCGCTGTCTTTCGACGGCTTCAGCAACATCCTCACCGTCAGCCTGCCCGCTGAAAAGGGCGGGGTCCACCTCAGCGCCCTGATCCTAGATGCCCTGGAGAGCCACAAAATCACAAGTGCACCGAGCCAGTCCGCTGCCACCGAGGCCGAGCAGATGGAGAGGAGCGACATTACTCTGCCTCAAATGACACCTGCCGGAAATAAGATTGTGGGAAATACCGCAGAGGAAACTGTAAGCCTCGAGCAGACCGCCCAAAGCCCGCAGCAGAGAAAAACCCTAGCAGCCGAGTTCCAGAAGAGTGGGTCAAGTTTGAATTGTACTTCCGGCTATTTAAGAACCGTTGTCATGTTCAGGATCAATGATGAGTTCCGCGTTACACATAGGAAAACGGTTCGCTTCCTCCGTATTTGACCCCCCTTGTCTTTTCCAGATGCCCCGGCCTCTGCATGTTGCTGCCTGAGCGTCGAGCCAGAGGTCTGTGCTGCTTTCCTTGACCTATTTCAGTACTTTACTCCATATGAGACTTTCTCTGCTGCGTTGTGTGCGTGTGTTCATTCAAACAAAGTTCCCAAATTCAAGTCATACCCTCAGAACCTCAATTTCCCCCTTCCCCCCGTAGATGCAGCGTTTGGAGCGGATGATTGAGCGGGTGGAGCACACGGTGCAGCTGCTTCTTTCCTCACTCACACGGTTTACTGAACGCTTGCAGATTTAAAGCAGCTGTTGTCATTGTACTTAGACACTGTTCACCTCTCTTTTTAGGGTGCTTTAATCATGCTACGATACCGTTTGTTCTGTTTTAATAGTTGCATGTCTTTCATCAGTGCGCTGTGTTGCCATGGCTTCCTTTTGTTAGGTTGTTATCGCCTGTTCAGGTGGTCCCTTTTTGTTTTACATAAAAGTTCACTTAAAACCAGTCCGTCTAGCTTAGTGTTATTTCAAAGTACATCAATTGAGCAAAATTAGAAAAAGAAGTAGCGTGCGTGGACTGAGAGGATCATCGGTTTGGTGGAGTAAACGGCGGGCACAGTCAGGAGGTGTGCTAACAGCTCTCTTGTGCGGATGCGATCAGTTTGGAAGCCAAGAAGGTGTGTGAAGCCGGCAGTGAGGGTGGGGGGAAAAAAAAAAAAAAAAGACACAAGGACATCATGGAAAGCGAATTTTGACAAGCCTTTGTGGTAAGTACAGACAAATTAGTCATTTTAAAAGTAAGTTAAATTATCGATATTTTGGGGGGGGCACGATGGCCTGACCTCTTGTGTCAAATGCACTTCACGTGAGGGGCATTTTCCAACATTCAAAACATTAATTGATTACATGTATTAGAATATGACATCTGTTCATCAGAATTTTCATTTTTTCTTTTTTTTTTTTTTTGTACTTCCTCAATTTTCCAGGCAGACTGACACAGAAGTGAGAGGAGAAACAAAAGAATGCCATTTCATTTTCCTTCTGCTACAAGCTCTCAGGTTAAAACTTCCTTGACACTGATCCTGGATGGTTGCCGCAGGTGTTCGTTCCAGCATGCTCCTCGTTAACGTTCCTCCTGGTTTTCTTCTGAGGCTGCTGCTCCTTCAAGGTCAGATGACAGTTTATTTGGGTACATTATGGCTACTGGGGCAAATGCGTTCATCATAAAATCATAGCTTTGTTATCTTTGCAAAGGCTTACTATGTGTTGATCTCATTTGCTTGTGCGCCTAAAGTTATGAATGTGTATTTCTGTAAATTCCCTGATTGTCAACACAAACTTGCCAGTAAAGTGAACTGAACTCATAATGTCCAGAAAATATTGGACTCAATGTAATAAAAAAAGACTCGGACAGCGTTGTTGACAAGGATGTATTTATTTGAATAAAAAGTGCGTTTTGTTTTTAAGCTTGCAATAGACCCCCCCCCCCCCCCACAAAAAAGGCTGATTAAATGACGTGCATATATTTACATTTGGCTGCCAGCATAAATGTTGATCCAAGCTACAATCTCCAGGATGATTTGTAGCCAATTAAAGACGGTCAGTGGTTTCAAACTTGAGAGACTTTTCAGTGTACAAGAGCAATTAGTCGACTGGCCAGAATGTTACCGCATTTAAATGCCTCCTTTCATTTGGAGCACAACAAGTCTTTGAAAGTATCCAGTGGTTGCAGAGAGGACGCTCTTGTGCGGAGGCTGACGATCGCATGCGGATTTATTTGATTGTCTGGTCTGACAAACCAGCACTTCCCAACTAAAAGGCCTCGTTTCCACCAAGCAGTACAGTTGGCTTCAGTCAAAAAACAAACAAGAAAATTGCAAGTTTGTGGAGTGTACCATGACCGGTAATCGGTACAGAGCCACATTTCAGCACCCCTCTGCCACAGTAGGCAATTGTATTTGTCAACACCGAATGGTCTCTGGTGTGCAACGGTGGAAACAGGAAGAACACAAGTGAGTTTGAGTACGCCACCGTACCTTGACAAACTTAACCTGGACTGTACCACTTAGCGGAATCGGTTAAGAGATGAGCGCACAGGCTTCAACTGGTTGACCCGAAAAAGACACTGGACTCTCTTCTTTAAGCGGTGGATTTCCTTTCCCACTCCTGTAAGGACAAAGCAGCATTGAATTAAGGATGATTTGGAATTCAAACACAAGTTCCTATTGGTCAACTTGGTAGTCAGCCGCCATCAGATTGCGTTACATGTTTTTGGACTGTATTGATTTTATTGTTTTTCTCCACAGAAGCTTAAGTTGTGTAAGCAGGCCTCACTTTGGCTTTCTGCAGCACTTTGCCTTTGGTGGCCATGATGGACGCTGGCCTGTTCTTAAGTGCGGTCGCCGAATTGACAGGAGATGCTGCGTCTGCCCCAGTGGGGCCGCTGGATGCTTCGCAGGAGGATGGCGATGATGCAGTTTGGGGAACAGGCGGAGCCGCTGTTTTTGTCTGAGGGTGAGCAAAAAAAAAAAGTGAGTTCAAACACATGTTCATACATGAAGACTTTTTCAGGTTCCTGGCGGCTGACCGCATATGTCTCCTGGAGGTTGCTGTCCAGTGTGGTCCCCAGTGTGAAGGGCCCGGCCTCCACCTTCTTGAGACTCTCCTTCACTTCCACCAGCCGCAGCTCCACCTCCACACGCCGCTGCTCAGCTTCCCGACTGGCCTCCTCAATCTGCTTCAGCCGAACTTCCAGTGAGCTCTGCTGCTTGGGATCTGAAACCAACACGGACTCCTTCACAAGCCTCCAGCCAATTCAACGTGACTACCGTGTGTCTCCCTCAAAGTCAGAACGATCAAAAGTTGGCTGTTTCTCCAAGAAAAAAAATCGTAATGTAATGATAAGAAATTAATTTTGTGAAAAAAAGTTGCAAGTCTGACAGAGCAGAGATGCATTTTTTTTGACAAAAACTTGAAGGTCCCTCGAAAAATATATATTTTTGAAAAAGTCCTAATATTACATTCAAGTCATTTTTCTAGAATGAATTTTGGGGTAATCCCGAGGAGAAGAGTCAAAATTTTCCAGCGTCTCAGCTGGGTCTTACAATGCACTTGTCTTTGGAGCCAGCCAGTCCTCCCTCATACGTCTCCAGTTGGTTGGACCGTTTGTATTTGTTACTGTAGCATAACCCCGAGTTCTGAGCACTGTTCTGAGAAGTTGTGAATTACCTTGACAGGTGCTGAGCTCCTCTTTGGTTTCTCTCCGTTCCTTTTTCAGGCCGGCCAGACTGCTCCTGACATCTTCGCGCGCTCTCTCCAGCCGCTCGCGCTCGTCGCTGTAGCGCAACAAGTCTGCCTCTGTGCGTTTTTTGCCCAGCTTCCCCTCAACGGCGCCGGGGCAGCCTGGTAATCAGCATCCGAGCCAAAAGTCAGCCTGGGATCCCCAGGTGTGCTTGCATAAAAATCATTTTGCCATTGTCTTTGAAGGACTAATATACAATTGTTTTCCTTTAAAATAAAACATCTATCTGTCTAGATATAGAAGTGGTTATTATAAATTGAATTATTTTGTTTTGTACTCTTTAGTTTTTTTCAATAATTTTTTTAGCATTAAGTTGTTTTTTTTTTTTAAATCGCAGGTGTTTCTAAAATAGTGTCCAGTGAGTGAAGGTTCCTGTTGCAGAAGAGCTTGTCCACCACTTGAGGGAGCCAACTTTTCATTTTATTTATTTTTTAATTCTGCATACTCCACTTGGTGAAAGGTGCGAGTGCTATGTTTACCCATTTGATCCCACTCACCTGTGCTAAACGCTTTAGGTCGGAGCGGTTGAGGACTCAGAGGAAAGCCACAGGTTGTTTGAAGAGTCGAAGCTTTCGTGACCCCTGAGGAACTCGACGTCCTCTTGGGGGGCTCCTGGCTTTGAGTCTTGAAATTTGGTGGCGTCGGCTGCGGTGTCTCAGTTGTTGGAGTTGTGGAGGGCTCTTCCTCTGCTTCGGCGCAGCTGGAGTCATTTGAAGCTGATGCTGCATCGGGTCCTGGCGGGTCATTTGGAGTCACCTGGAAATGGCACCAGAGTTTCACCAGCTGCTTTTATCATGGAATTGCACAAAACCTACTTTCAGGTATGTGGCGACCTCTGTATCTGGGTGCAAAGGGTCCTTCTGTTCCTCTAAGTGTTGAGGAGATTCTCCTGATGTTTCTTGTGTTAGGGATTCCTTTCCGCCACCTGCTGCTGGATACAAGAAAGATCTCACAGGGACCAGGTCTAGGTAGACTCTGTTTTCAGGGTCCTCATCCTGAGCTATCGGGTCTTTTGGGTCTTGCGCAGACATTTCATTGTGTTCGTCGGTGTCCTTTTCTTCACTCTGTGGAAGACAGCCAGCAACAATATCCTGAAGAAAAAAACAAAACAGTAGGAATACAATAAAACAGAAAGTAGAGTGCTCGACCTGAAGCCATAGTTCGTTAGTTGGGCTAACAAGTCTTTCTTGTGAAGGTTAAGACTGGCGAGGACTCTGGAAACCCATTTATACCTCTGGATCAGCGATTGACGCCACGTCGTCGTACAGCTCATCTGGGTTCTGAGGGGCGGAGGGCAGGGCGTCAATGTAGGCGTTTGGCTCGGAGTAGCGCCGCTGCATCAAGCTGGAGCCAAAAATAAACATTTTAAACCTTAGCACACTGATTTTCAGACTTTTTTGGGGGGTCCATGCACCTTGACATAATATAATTATTATTTTTTCTTTCGCTGACTTACTAGAATGACGTCTTTGCAGCGTTGACGATGCTGGTGATCCTCTCGGCATTGACGTAGTCGTAGGTTAGCTCCTCCGGGTCTGTCTTGCTCCCTGTCTGGGACAGCAAGAGGCCTAGCCAGTGGCCCATGACTGCCGACGTTTTGGCCTGGACAAATACACACACGCACACACAAAAGAATCAGTGCAGTCTTTATTACTCCCAATTCCCCGAAGTCTTGGTCAAAACCTGGTCTCGTCTCCCCAATGTCTACATCCTACCTTTCTTCTGGATTACGAAAAGTTTTTCTCATAACTTGGACTGGACTCTTCTTCAAAGCCTTGGTCTTCACTCTGGTCTCCTCAACGTCCTGACTTGTCCAGGAATCCTCACAGTCTTTTGTCTCGACTCAGTTTGGACTATTGAAAGTCTTGGTCTGACCTTCTCAAAGTCTGAACTCTTAGAACAAATAACACCGTTGCTGCTCAGATTTGCAGCAGGGAGAAACTGAAGGGCTTTTCCCATGACCAAATCCCAGGATATCCCCACCCTCCGCCAGATGCACACATACATGGACCACCCTTGCTCCAGTCAGGATGCCATTTACCTCATGCACCGGTTGTCTTCGAAAAATGCTGACGTCACCCCCCTGCCCCTGCCCTCTCCACCGGCCTCCCATTCGAGCTCCTTGTATGACGCAAGTTCTCATCTGGGTCAAATATACATCCAAGACCGACATCATATTGTATATCATCAGCACCCGACCCAGTCCCGCAACCCGTCGCTTCGGCTACGCATTTGTGACGCTTTAATGAAAACTTGTCAGAGGACTCGGGTGTTGCTTGTCAAAACATTAACTGAGCAGTGCTTGTCCAGTGGGAAGTTACGCAGTCTCATTAGTAGAAATCGCACCTTATTGAGTCACTTGAAAAAGCTTTGTTTTCACATTTATGTCCCACCCAGGTCACGTGCTTCTGCAAAAAAGAAATGTGGTCCTAAAATGAAAAGCGGTTGGTGGGTGCCAAATACCTCCAGGGTTGCCAGCTGCGTGCCGCTCATGTCGATCCGGAAGGTGTAGAGATGCTCCGGGCTGGGGTCCGGCGAAACCTGGCAACCCCCCAGCTTCACGGCAGGTTGGCTCACTTTGCTCTTGCTCTTGTCCTGGTAGAACCACAACTGACCGTTCTTGATGAGGCACCAGCACATCCGCCACTGGCTGTTCACCAGCACGTTGAGGTAGCCTGATGTTAGCACATGGGTAACATTTCACAATCGGTGAAAATGGACTCATTGCAAATAGCGCAATAAAAATTGGAGGAAATTCCATTCTAACTTAATCATCTTCAATCAACCCATATGAAACAATTTTCCATATTCTTTAGATATGCTTTTATTTTCCAAATATTTTTGTCAATGTTACTTCTAAATTTGTCGTTACAAAAACAAATGGTTGAGAATGACAATTCTTTTGCATACCTCCGAACATTTTAACGTTTGCACGAGACCTCCAACCTTGCGGGAACTCACCGGAGGTTTCAACACATTTCTCCGCGCTCTCCAGTGCTGACGCTTTTTTTTTCCCGATGTTCATCAGGTTGCTGAACTTCAAACCGGCACCGTATTTTTTCTTGACTGTCAAAGGAAAGTCGAGAAGGACGCTAAGCATCAGCACACGACTCTGTTCAAGTTTTGCGCGCAAGCTCACCATCTTTCTCAGGAGTCTCGGCATGACTGTCGGTGCTGCTGCCGCTTTCCGAAGCCGCTGAGTGTCGCTCGCCTGCGTCCGCCTGTCAAAAACAACCGCGTTTTAAAAATTCTGGTGGCATTTGTGTGGGATAAATTGACCAAATTCATTCATTTTATTTTGACCTTAGTGCAAATGAGCCTCGGAGAGTCGGAGGCAGGATGCTGCAAGTCGCCGTTTTCTGTCGGCTTGGGACTGATCTCCTGGATCACCTAATGTGTAGAAAGCAGCATGTCCCGACACCGTCACACGCAAAAGGCATGTTCAATTCATTCCGATAAGACTTGCTCAGGAAAGACTACGCTGTGGTTTCCCCCAAAATGCAGCATTCTCAAGAAGGGCATGTTGATAGTTTGCTTGTCGAGTGGAACAACGCTGTCCAACAAAAGCCAAATGTTACCTTGAGCCACTGCTCCGTCTGCTCTTTGCTCTGCAGCCCCAGCACGATGGCCTCCCCTCCCACTGGGACGATCTTCAGCTTGTGCTCCTTCCTCTTGAGCTGCTTCTCCTTGTAGGTCACGCTGCAGCCCAGCAGGCTCACGTCCAACAGGGGCGTCTGCTCTTTGGAGCTCTTGTAGCACTGAAAGCAGCAAAGAAGGCACCGACAATTGTCACACTCCCAAGAATCAGCGTTGCTCACCAAAACTACCTTTCTTGTCTCCAAAAGGGAACGGTTTGATCATGGATGTGAAAACAAAACCAAACTTCAAGCTATTTCTAACGGCATTGATTTTTGTATTGATTTATTTTTTACCAGTAGACGGTGCTCTTTGATGACACACAGTTGCTTGGCCCATTGGCCAAGCCACTTCTTCCTCCACAGGAAGGCACAGATGCGTGCATCTTTCATCAGCTCGATGGACGCCTCGGTCGACGGCCACTGGTGCTGCGCTGACAGAGACTTTCCTCTGGTCACCGCTTCTTCCTCGTCGTAGGACTCGTACGAGCTGCTGACCGCCTCGCCATCATCTGGGAAGTAAGTAAGTGTGAAACCGCGATGAATGCGTGTTGAATGGAACAGCAAGTCGGGAAGACAGATAGGTAGCTACCGCGGGTGATAGCGGCATAGACAACGCTGTCGGAGCTCGCCACTCGCAGCCAACGCCTCAAGAGGGGGCTTGGCGGGCCTGACAAAGCGCCACAAGCAGCAGAAGAGAAGAAGGAAAATAGCGTTAATGTACAGTGAGAATATGCCGTGGATCGGCCAGAGACACCTGCAAAGCCGAAAGGAAGCCAACTTTGTGCCTAGATTGGGACATTCGGCTCAAGTTTTGACACCACGTTAGGGTTATACAGTATTTGGATCTTTCTTTCATTTGCTTGTGCAGGTGTCCATGAAGAAAGTAAGGCGTTGTCATGAGGCGATAAGAGTGAAGAATAGTATCGCGTGCAGCGTGATTGAAGGCCCGTTCTTACCATTGACGGTTTCCTCGTACGGCTGAGCCTCCTCGTAGTAACTCTCTGAGGCTTCCAAGCAGGTCGGCGCCTGGACGACAGGTAGGGGAAAAGGTTCTCGAGTCACGGTGCCCTAAAGGATTCGGGAAAAAAAAATAGATCTATTATTTTGGCTTCTCTAAAAACATCACCACAATATTAGAAACACACCTGCAAACTACACGCACTATGTTGCCCCCTCTTTGTTACATGAATACTAATTCAAGATAGTAATTAGAAGGGGATGCAGAGGAGTCTTCTTTCTAGAGATCAAATTCTAATTCATCATGCTGATGGTGCTCTTTTGGGAGTGTTCCCGTCACTGGCTCGTATCAAAAATATTTATTCTTTGGCTTTTGACACAGCATGAGACTTGATTTTTAGTTTGACTGCGCTTCATAAGTAGTGAAAAATGTCAACGTTTGGGGTCTCTTTGAGGTCTCAAGTCCTGCGCCAAAGACACATAACGTGTCAAAATATCTCGACGAATGAGAATAGGTTCACGGTATCCCTTCGGAGGGATACAATGACATTCCTGAAAACGCGCCAGAAGATCAAAGTGCTTTCATGTGGGATGACTTTGATAATCTATCCACCAAAAGGTATTGCAACTATTCCACCGAGCGCTGAAGGAAATCAGGTCACTTCAGTCCGACTGTAGCAAAAGTGAACTCCGCATAATTCGGCGAGTTGAATTCAGAACCATTTTCGTCCCGCTGCTGATGAAACGTCTGATGTTAAATCTTCCACTTTCTCAGGCCCTCTCCCAAGGCGCGTCAATTCCCCAGCAAGATCACAGAAATGCGAGATGGAGCAGATGAGCACAGGAGGTGCCTATTACACACAAAGCGAGCCCTGGGGGAGGTGAGTGGAAAAGTAGGAAGGTTTTACAAAGTTGATGATCCAAATGCATTTTAATGTGAAAAATTAATGAATGTTTTGGCGATGGGTTTTTCCCGTCAATAAGATGTTGCAACGCTTGATCTCACAACATTAATACAGGACGGCGGCGCGTTTATTTTTGTTCCGTAACCTAGCTCGAAACTCACTGGTGCAAACCTTGAGCCACCAGTTAGGAGGGGAACACGGTAGTTCGACCCTGCTGGAGGTCTGCCCTTTTTTTCAAAGCCGAAAAATCTGTTGACTAGGCACTGTGACTTCATATTGGACCCTTTAACATGGAAGTCTTTTGACCTAACAGGAACTTATTAAGACATTTGGTGGATTTGTTTCTACTGTAAATCACACAGGAATATAAGCATCTGCTATTAATTAAAACAAGGCATTCCAAGGCAGCAGCAGCCTCCTGTCACGCCCACCTTATCGCTATATTCCCAAAAGGGGGACGCAGGAAAAAAAATAAAAATAAAAGCAAGTCGGCTAATGCGGACATTGACACCAAGTAGAAAATGCACAGGTGTGTTTTGGAGTCAATTCTGCTTTTCTTTGACTCCTTTATTTGATATCCTCCTCGACATGATGCAGCAAAATGAACAAAAGCAAGCAACGGGGGAGCAGGGGAGGAATGGGGGTGTGGTGGAGGGGCTGAGGAAAAATACGAAAAGGCAGAGGAACATGGAAAATCCCCGCTTCCCATGCCAAGAATCTGCTCCAGCAAAAAACAGTCTGAATCTGGGAGCGTGTTGTGGAAGAAGTTTGAAACAAGATGTTTTATAACAACCTTGAGACTCGCTCCCAAATGTGGGATTAAACATTTGGAATCGGTGCGTGGACAGAAAGAGCGACTCCAATGTACGGTCGGATCATGTTAGCCAGAACCAATGCCGGACGGTCAAACTCGATTTCTTTTGCTCGCCATTTGCCACCAGCCCGAGTGCGGCCCGCAGTGGACAGTCTGCTTTCATTTCCCCAGCTTGTTGCTTCCAAAGCGGCACCATGACTATCTATAGAACGACTCTATTTTCAGACCGTGCGGCGTCGACGCAATGGAACTCTTCAAACGTTTGTTTACGAGTCGCACGTCTCGCATAAATGGGTCGGTCCATTGCAACTGGAGTGACACAGTTTCCGTTGTGAGAAAACAAAGACCCGCGTTTCCGAGATCATGGCCTTGCCCGGGGGCCTGGGATTCATTCAAGAGAAGAATGCGACCCTTGATCTGGTGGAGGGACAGACCGGTCGGCTGAGGGTGAAGGTGGAAGAGAGCTGCTTCGTTGTGGAGAGGGCCTTGCTCGCCAGGCACAGCGACTACTTCCGGGCCCTCTTTCGGTCTGGCATGCGAGAAAGTGAGCAGGAGGAGCTGCACCTGAAAGGAGGGCTGCACGCACGAGGTTTTCTCATCGCTCTTGCGGTCTGCCGGCGGGAGATTCCCACCCTCCGCGACCCGGAGGAGCTGCTCGACGCCGTGGAGTGCGCCGCTTTCCTTCAGGTGCCGTGTTTGAGTCGACATCTTTGTGATATCGTCGATTCGGACAACTGCCTCTTGCTGTACCGCGCCGCCGACACCTTTGGGGTGGAAAACCTCTTTCGCAGCGCCGCTCTGTTCCTTTGCGACACCTTCGACGACCTCGGGGAAACGGCGCAGGCAACACTCCCCGAAGATCTGCTGCAGTATTGTCAGTCGTTATCCCCCGCATCTTACGTCGCAATCGGTACCCACTCTCCTTCAACGGAGCTGCTCCGCGACGCCCACCGGGTCGTGTGCTACCTCGATGAGAAAGAAGGACAGTGGAAGCATCTGACGCACCTCCCGACCCTCTGCAGTACTTCCATGTGTGGTGTCGCGGTGCTGGACAACCTCCTGTACATTGTCGGGGGAGTTCACGGTTATGGAAAGGACGCCGTTGACGGCGCCTTCTGCTTTGACCCTGAATCGGGGGTTTGGACCACGCTCCCGGGACCCCAGCGACCCAGATATGATTTCACCCTGCTGGCGCACGAGGGCCGACTCTACGCCGTTGGAGGCGAGTTCCAGAAAAGGCACATCACCACCGCAGAGCGTTATGACCCTCTGAAGGGAGACTGGACCTTTATACGACAAGCGCCGAGGCCGGTCGCTTCGGCCGCTTGCGCCGTCGCGAGGCATCGGATGTTCGTTTGCTTCTGGAAGCCTCCCGATACCACGGACATTTACGAGTATGTGACGCTCGATGACCAGTGGAAACTGACCACCGCCATGATCAGACCTCAGAGTTACGGCCACTGTATGGTGGCTCACAGGGACAACCTGTACGTCATGCGCAACGGGCCCTGCGATGACTTTCTTCGCTGTCTCATGGATTGCTACAATCTCACCACGGCCCAATGGACAGCCATGCCGGGGCACTACATCAACAGCAAGGGGGCGCTGTTCACCGCCATGATCAGGGGTGACTCTGCGCTCACGGTGAAACACATGCTCACGCTAGAGTATGCCATCGGCGCACATGGATGGAAGCCCCGAAGGCAGATGAAGGGTTTTCCGAAGAGCGGATCGCTCCGGACGTGTTTGCTTCGGCTTCCCAAGACAGGGCCGGCGATACCTCCGGCGGAAGCGCAGAGGAACCGAAAGGAAATGCCTTTGAAAGACAAGACGGCACGGTCGGTCGATGACGTGCTGGAGGTCTAAGGTTTTTGGAGGGAACTGGGATAGGAGTCCTTGAATCATTGGCACACGCCATCTGTTCTCAGGATTTCATCGTGTCGAAAAATCTTCCTTTGGATTTGTCACGCTTCTGTCAGGCGGGGGTTCTCACACTTTCTCCGACTTCATCCCAGACCCCCTCGCTCCCCAGACCAGCGTTTGAGGGCAACCTGCATTTTCACCATTTGACATGTCACTTACTGTTCTGGCAGGTGGCAGATTGGGAAGGTTCTTCAGTGGGACGGGGACGTGTTTGGATGCTTTTCCATTGACCGGGATGCTTGCTCTGTCATCTGGAATGTAAAAGTAGCATCGAAGTGAACGGTCATGTGATCTTGCGCGCCATTTTGACATAAGCACACGCCCGTGGAGTTCTGCCTGAACATGATCTTGACATGGCGTACTGTTTGTGCTGAAAGAACATTGTGACTATCAGTGGTATTGAAGTGGTATTGATGAACTCATCAATGGCATTTGTGTTGGCGTTAAGCTAGCGACGATTCTGAAGGCACAGTTGTGTGCTTGTTTTAAAGACACAAACATTGGATTACATTTAGTTTGATAATATCTTTCAAACTACTGCTTGTTGTGAAGTGAGTCGTTTACTGCTGCTAACTTGCAAGCACGTCAAAAAGTCATGGATTAAAAAATCAATAAAAATTATCCCAGTGACTGCTTGTGTCTTGAAAAACTTCGTCTGGCCACTCTTACTGTATACTGTAAAAATCCATCCCAAAAAACGACAAAAAAACTAAAATAAATAACGCGAAATAGTGAGTCCATTCTATCACAGCTGAACGATGTCGTCGTTTGTCTCCTCGGGTGCTTCTGCGTTGAGGTTGTCCAAGTGGGTCAAACGTTACGGCGAACATGAGTTATTGCACCTTGCGCTTTTGAAGCGAAAAGCAGACACAAACTACAGTCACAGACGACCCAAACCCCCCCCACCCCCCCTCGACCCCACCAGCGTTTCCTGTCTGTTTCTTCATAGCTCCTCGCCATCTGTAGCTGCCTTGTTTTGTTTGGACGACAAGAAAGAGTTTAGGTGGGGACGATTTCTCCCCCCTTTGTTCTTCTTGAGTTTTGTTTCGTGAGTCGTGAGATTTGAGTCTGCTGAATAATTGATCAGGTCCATTTCATGAATCGGGAGTCGCTGTATTCTGTTAAACTGGCTGGAGTTACTCGATGTAATGCCGCGGTACGCCCAAATCGCGACGAATTGTCAGGCGAGCATCATCACCGCAAGGAGCGAACAGCTCGCATGCTGTGTTCATCATGAGCTGATCTGATTTTTATTTTTTGATGTGCGTTTTTTGTTTTGTTTTACACTTTTATCACATTAGTGAAAATGATGACAAAAAAAGAGCAAGAAGCAAAACTGTTCTTTTTTTTTAGTGCGGGTTTCCCATAAAACAATTCGAAACGTTTACCTTTCTCCGGGTTTTCCTTGCTACCGACGACGACTTTATTCATGTAGATGTACTCCTCATCCGCACCTGCGTCCAGAAAGACCAAAAAAGCATAAACACTCAAGTAAGCAGTTCTCAGAAAGCGAGAGAAAACAAACAAAAAAAAAAAAAGTGTACACCAGCTGGTCACCATAACCTTGCAGAAGAAGCTTTCCTAATTGAATTAATTTTTGCTGACCAAGATGGCACCCACAAAGGCAGCTTTGGGTGTTAGATTGCTTTGAAATTGAGAGCTTGGGCGGAAAGTAAACAAAAAGAAAGAAAAGAGTTTCTGCCTGTGTGTGGAGAAATTGGCGTGCTATTTATAAACTGCGGCTCAAAGGAAGTGAGCGTCCCAGTGGATGAATGCGGCTTTGGAATAATCATACTGCTCGGAGCCAGGACAGGAACAAATCCAAGACCTGAACATGGAAAGGGAAGACTGTTTCAGTGTGTCGGTATCGCAGCATGAGAAGGACACTCACTGTGACCTTTTCAACCCCCCCAAATCCATTGGGAACCTCAGGGGACACGGCGGTCGAGTTTTTATTGAGTCCTCAGAGGGCCATACTGGACTTGCGATTGATTCATGATGGGCTTTTTATAAGCGTTCCCCTGGGGATTTATTTGCTTTTAGAGCTGGAAGGTGGGCCTGGAAAAAAAAAAAGCCATCTTAAAGGCCTCTCATGCGCTCACCATCTGAGCAGCCTGAAAAAAAATCGCAGCCTTTGATGTGGTCATTTACCGATACGGCCCCCCCCCCCCCCCCCCCCAGGTATGTGCGCTGGCCTGACCTGTTGAGTGACGTGGGTGTCGGTGAACGAGTATAGAGTTGGCCGGTCGGTGGCGGGCTTACCGGTCAACACTTAGGCCGGTTATGCGAATGCCTTGCTTCGTATCGCTGTTTGTTTTAATCAGTAAGTTTGACAACCGCTGCTCTTGAGAAAAATTGAAATGAAGTGAAATGCCTCTGATACACGTGCTTCCCACATCACTGCGATGTGACAAAAAAGATCTCCTTTGACTCATATTCTTCCCGACTTTCATTTTGTCAGTTTATGGTGTTTGTCGTACAGCAAAGCGACGGCGTTCGGTTCGCCGCCTGCCATTGAAATGGGCTTCATCAGTTCTCCTTATGTAACATGCGGTCGTCCACTTGATTTCCCACAAATTCACTGAACTTTGTGAGTCGGCGCTTGGCAATCTGACAACCCGTCGTAGTTATTTTGCTATCTGCCTAACCGCCGTGTAATTCTTCCACTCTCGCACGCCCTCACCATTAGATACACTGGAGCTGACCGAACCGCGCTTTGTGAAATTACTCCGGCATCTAATTGGAGTCCGTTTGTGGACGCTCGTTTTTGACGCCGAAACCAGCGCAGCTGACGATATCTCACTCCATCCCTTGGTAGTACTTGTTTATTTTCTGTGTTCGTGGCTCCGACACTTAAAACACGAAACTGCTGGTGGGCTGATGTTATTTATGGTGGCTGCGAGACTGTTTCCATGCGAATTTTCGGGGTGTATTGTTTCAACGTGTTCTCACGAGAGTTGAGAAATTGGAAATTGCACTCGTGTTGACGCCAAAGGCACGTTTGCTTGAAGTACACAGTGTCCACAAAGTCTTGACAACTCAATAGAAAATAGACAGACAACCGTTTAATGTGTTCTGTGACCAGGCTCTTAAATCAAAACACTTGTGACTCAAATCATCTTAAGCCATTGAAATGGATGGACATGACAGTGATTCATTCCAGCCTCACCTGCCCCCCAAAAAGTTTATCTCTGTGTTTATAGATTAGCGAAGTTTGTCAATAGCGTGCCTCTGGAAAATCTTTAAAACTGTTGTATGGGATTTTTTTTTCAATTGGAGTTGTCCTGTGAATTCTGCCTAGCAACAAACCAGAGCCCCAGACGTGAGCATAGTAAAACCTCTGAAAAAAATTGACTTTTTTTTTTTCCTTGCCCTGCAAGATTTGCTTAGCAACCAGCAAAATTTCCTACGCAGCAAGTGTCAGCTCAGTCGCGACGATGTAAAATCTTGGAATAAAACTTAGCCTCAGACCAAGCATGACCATGGCCAAGCCTCCAAACGATCCATGAAAATGTGCTAGAGTTGTTTGCTCGTACCGTTGGACACAGTGTAGGACTGGAGTAGGTCAGAGAGCAATCCCTTGTGGATGGTGGCGTTCCCGCTCAGGGTCTCTTTGTCGAGGATGAGCAGGAAATGGTGGAGCTCCATGAGGAGCTGGTCCAGCACTGCGAGGACGCACAGAACAAAGAAGGTTCAACGGGAATGGAAAATAAACAAGCAAGGGAGGATTTGTCTGTTAGCGCCTGGATTTCACGCCAGCATTTAGCATGGGAGAGACCAACTTTTCAGCCTTGACGTGCCTCCCACGCACGTCCTTCGGGGTCAGGCCGTGTGGGGAGCTCTTTGTGTATGTCTGCGGGCCTCGCGCAAAGCATGCGGGGGGCCCTCAGAGTGGGAGCGAGGACGCAAGACGTTCTTAAAGGCGAAGGTCTAGCATATGCTTGTACTCTTCGTTTTGTACCATAAGGCCCGCGGTGTCAACGTTTGTGACTCGCGCCGGCATACCTGGCCAAATAAGCACCCCTTAGTTAAGTTATTTTTCATTCCCAATTGAAATTTTCTGTAAAAGTGACACAAAAACAATCACAAAAATGTTCAACCAAACCATTTCATTTCATCTAACTGAGTCGCTCGGAACTCAAAACCCCGGTCTCTCAAAACATCTTTCCTTCTTGAAATGAATGGAAATGCCGTCTAGCTAACAAATAATGTCCTTTAAATATTATAGTATATTGCACTTTATAAAAACCTACAGTAATAGTTCGTGTCAAAAATAACAGTTCTTGTCCCATTTGCATCACACTAAGCTGCAGTACAAGTCCTTCGCAGATGATAAATAATATATGGCTGGATCCTAGTGAGGAGAATTCCATAGTGCAGACAAACAACCGCCACAATGGTGAGTCACTATTGGCAAACTGTTGTGTTTGGTGTCAAAGCCTATCGAACCCTCATAAATGTTCAGTTGTCGCCGCACTCAATGCATGTCTACTTCCGCAGCGCCTTCTCCAAAGTCCGAAGTAAAGGCAAGCCCTGGAGAGAGAGAGAGAGAGAGAGTTGCGACATCCTGAAATAAACCAACTGTGCGGTCAGCCGAGGGCTGGCCTTCCAAAGACGAACCTCAAAGGAGGCTCTCCTCTCTCTTCAAAGTGTCACTCTCCTCTAATGGCTCTTCCGCCTCACGCTGACCGAGCCTTCAAAGGGAGAAAACGGGAAGATGCCTTTGCAGCGCGCAAATGCCGAGCTTTACATGTTGCAGATGACGAGAGCCCCTCCAGCAGCGGCTTGTTTGTAATGACTTCTGCTCACGCTGGGTCAACTTCTGTTGTGGGGCCCCGTTTGAGGCGCAAAATACGGGAAGAGCTTTTCACAACAGGAAAGCACAAAAACTGCCCCAACGGAAGACTTCGGGTTTGTCGGCCTTTGAATTGGGGTGGCCTTGCAGGCTGCGTTGTTCTTCAATCCAGCCCGCCGAACATTGACACGATCTCGGTGTCCTGTCAGACAATGACCGGCCTCACATATTTGCAAATTTGCAGAAATACTTTTGTTTAGATCCGAGCAACTATATGGAAGAGCCATAGCCTCGCCCAATCGGGGGAAAAAAACAAGAGCTTTTCGGCCATCGCTAGTC